AATGCATCTTATATGTGATTGGGTATCACACTGTGGCCGTTTGTGTGGTCGATCAGATACGTAACACAGTGGTATCACAATGCATCTTATATGTGTTTGAGTATCACACTGTGGTACCACCGGAGGACGGTGGCCGGAGGTCGGAGGACGGTGGCCGGAGGTCGGAGACGGAGAGAGAAGAGAGGAGAGAGGATAGAAAATACTTAAAATGTCCTTGCATTAAAATTTTAATTAAAAATGACCAAAATTATAAATTTTCTAATTTATCTATTGATTTGTGGTTGAGATTGGATCTCACAGTTACCACAAACTACTCAGTTCTCCCTTGAATGAACCCATATATATATATATATATATAGAGTTTGTTTCAAATACAACCCATCGCATTTGTACAACCAATGCAACCCAATAAATTGAGATATTTATGGAAATGATGAGAGTTCATTTATTATGATTTGAATATTTATGGAAGATGAATATGGTTCATTAATTATGATCAATACTTTATATTAGGAAACAATCAAAACTATATGAAATCACATATTAATCAAATGAAATGGACGGTTGAGATTGGCTTGTATTGGTTGCACAAATGTCAAGGGTTGTATAATAACCAACCTCTATATATATATATATATATATATATATATATATATATATATATATATATATATATATATATAACCATGAATTGAGCAACAGTTTTATAACATGAGATAAACCTGTTTTCATTAAACGAATCAAATAGTTCCATTCAAAACAGATTAAAGGAAACGACCATGAAACACTACAAATACTAACAGAATTACGATATAAAATATCCGTGGATGAAGCGATGAAGATGAGTATAAATATAAAAATGATCCATAAAAATCATTTCCAAAAGCAAAAACAAAAAAAAAATGAAATGAAATCACTGACAAATTAAAAAATTAAAAAACAATTTCACAATGAAGGTTGAATAAAAAGGTTAAGCAAATCTTTTTAATTAAAACTTTAAAATTAAAAATTAAAAGTCAATGACATCCAAATCTTGTTTTTAATTAAAATATTAAAAAATATTTATTATTCTAAAAACTATTAGACAAAAACAAACCACTTTTAATTTATACAAACTTTATAATCTTTTTTAGCCAATCAAAATTATTCATTTTTTTTAATATATCAAGGTGTTATTGTTAATTTACTTCTCAATGGATTATTTTTGGGATGTTGATAATCCTCCAGTTAGTTTAAGTTGCAGGTGTCATCAATGGCGGATTTGATACTGCAGAATATTTTGGTTCGTTTGTTCATCAATGATGGATCTGAATATTTTGGTTTGTTTGTTCATCAATGGAGGGTTTGAATGAAACACATGAAATCGTGTCTTTTTTTTCCCCATTAACGAAACCATATCTACAAAACATAAAATCATCAGTTTTTTCATTCGGGAAACTATGAAATCATGATTTTTTTTCATTGATGACACTACTAGAAAACAAACTATGACCGAGAACCAAAATTTGTCGGCAATTCTCGACGGATCATCGATGAATTCAAAATTTATCAATTAAAAAATTTAGAAAAACTTAAAAATAAATTATCTGTCGGTTGTTACCTACGAATTTCAAAAATTAATCGGTACTACCGACGGATTGAGTTTTTGAAAAATTAAAAATTAAAATATCTTTTGATAATCATCGAGAAATAATTTTATTTTATTTTTAATTTTCTAATTTGGGAGGTATTAGAAAATAAAATTAAAATATCCGTCCCTTCCATGGATTTCGTAGCTTTTTTAAACACTGATCTTCTTCTTTGACGAAAAATAGGGTTGAATTTGCATTTGTTTATATTGGTGTATTTCGATCTGCCAAAAGATCGAGAGTTACTAATCCATAAAAGGTTTAGTTTGATTATGCAAATTGATTAACATGTTGACTTTTGTTATTTGATTGATGTTATATCATGTTAGTTTGCTCACACTGAGTGATTAATCAGTTGCTATAAACTAAGGCAAGTTAATCGATGGATTTTGTATCTTTTTTATGATCGAGTTGTTATTACTACCTATCGATTATGATCGCAAGAACTCCTGACCTCAGGGTTTGGGGTTTTCTGTTGATACCATTAAGCTAAAGTCCACATGGATGATCATATGGATCTTCGATGCTTATCATTCTCATTTTTGTTCGATGGGTCTACTGAAAGCTTATTGATTTCATTTATTTTGGTTGTTTTATATGATTATATGGAGAGATGAGTGTTCCAGAACTACTCGGTGTTTTTGTTCGGAGATTACTCCATGTTACATGCTATCCGATCACAACAATTATTCTTAATGAACTACCCGTTGTATGTATTTATTCATGTACGTATATAGTTTGAAACAACCTTTTTTGTGAAGGTGAAAACACTTGAGCCTTTGTATGAGATCTTTTGATCTAACGGCTAAAAACAACGTGAACGTGTAATTGATGGCTAACAAAAAACACAGACCGTTATCTACCTTCATCTTCACATTTAGCCATGTTCAAGAACTTTCATACATCTCCAATCACTTTACATGCATTAATTTGTTAAAGTTTCAGTTATGACACTAGAAATACATAAATCGAGTAAGATCAATTTTTTGAAAAAGATTGCATATGGATGAAGGTTTATGTTCTTATGTTCTCACAATAAAACTCATTCTTACAGGAATATAACATTGTATATGTATATATATATATATAGAAAGAGAGAGAGGAATGATTATGCAAGAAGTTAAACATGTTTCATTATCATATATGATTACACTCTTTTGGATGTGTTTAATTATAAATGATTAAGCATCTATATATTGTCAGTGCAACATTTGTTTAACCATATATGATTAAGTTTGTGTATTATGCATTTAATCACATATGATATTGAAACTTATCGTCTTCTCACAATATATATAGGGGCCTAAATAAAATAAAATAAAATAAAATTGTTTAGTTTATAATAACCGTTAGATCCAATATAAACAAGCATTTAAGATAATTAATGTTATTTTGTAACTAATAATAATAAAAGGGTAAGTTAGTAATTTTAGTGACACCATCCATATCAAATCCATAATTTTATGTGATCGGAGGTTTCAAGTTGAAGGATAAAATATTCATAATTTTACTTGAAGAGCTCGAAAAGGATTGGTCAAATTGCAGGTTCTCGTGAGAGGATTTCTAGCCAGAAAAACAGCAGTTGCTACTCTACACTGTATGCAAGCTCTAATTCACCAAAGATCACGAAATCCACCAAAGAAAGTCCATCTTAAGATCCCATGGTCCTACATTTGTTGAACCAATTTAACTGGTACTCCTTTGTTTAGTTGTTCACATTCCCAGAAACCCACCCATTTTCAAGAGGCTCTCATCTTATGAATCTTCAACAAATTGCTGTGATGAGAGCCTAAAAATAGTCGAAGCCAACACCTACACACCACCACTCTAGATCCAAACGCATCAATGTATTGCGGTACGTAAATCTTTCTTTTCTTCAAATCTTGATGGAGGTATCCTCCAATGGTATCATAACGGTTATGTGTGGTCTGAAACCCAGATTAGATTTGGTCTCAACCACCCATACTCAAAACAGTATCACAGTGGGTATCATTACCTATATTGTGTCTTACTACTTAGAAGGTCCTTATTCTTATGCATACAGTGGTTTTTTGTCTTAAGCATACAGTGTATACAGTGGTTTTGTGTCTTAAGCATACAGTGTATACAGTGGTTTTGTGTCTTAAGCATGCATACAGTGGGTATAAGTGGTATATACCGAAATAAGTTTGGCTTAAGTGGGTATCATAGTTGTATATACCGAAATAAGTTTGGCTTAAGTAAGGTTTGTAGGTCGGAGAGATGAGAGGATGATTAACAAAATTAATATTTTCTGATAATTACCAAAATTGATATTTTCTTTTATAATTACCAACAGACTAATTTATATTTAGGTCATTCTCATAAGATATATATATAGAGAGAGAGAGATGGGTTGGATTCTGGTAGGGATTCAAGATTTGGTATCCACCTAAAGCTTTGCCATCCAAGTTCCCTTTAATTACCAAAATGCCACCCGTCCATCAGCATCATCAGATCAAGAGGCACGCTTCCTCCAACGGTTTTGGGTGGGTTCCTACTATTCTTACCAAAAAAATTCCTACATGATCCCATAACCAACAAGGATTCCTTTTCCTGGAATCCATCAGGGGATTAAACATAAAAAAGAGGGTGCCTAACGACCAGATAGTTCGTGTAGCTAAATGTTCAAAGCAGCAGACTGCTTTAGTGGCCATTAGCAAGAGAATTTTTGAATAGAGAATACAAGTGAAGGGTGACAAGATAAGGTTTTCATACGCAGTGAAAGCAAAACACGAATAAAACCATGTAAAGAAACAGAATTGCATTTTTGTCTAGATGCCAGATGAACGGTCACGGCTACTTGTACCGGAACCTTCACTGTTCCACGACCCCATTTTCTGAAAGCACTTCAATGGTCGAACCTGCATCAACTATGATCATGAGATGTTTGCATTAACATTTTAAGAATTCTACCATGTATTGCAAGTTAGATAAGCCACAGTAGATGGTGGGCACGATTTGAAAAAACCACCAAGTATATTTTACTAATACCCTCCTAAACATGTTTGGACTTTAACCCTCATGCTCGTCACACATACATAAACAAGGGAGAGGGAGGGGGGAAGAGAGAGACCTTCCAACGCCACTTATGATTTAAGGAACTGTGGATTGATTCCAACCGAGGGATTATCTGCCTGAATGTTGGTCTCCTGGCTGGATTTTCATGCCAACACTCTATAATCAACCTGTAGCATAACAGTTGAAACAAGACACATAAAAACTCCCAAAAACTAATCAACAAAATTAATATCAACATTGGCCCAGCGGTACCCGAGTTATCGAGTAGATCACAACTTTACATCCGATTGAGTCTTAAAACTGTTCATTCCCTTGAGAACACAATACCATCATCAAGATTTAACCTTTCAGATCAAGGATTGGTGTCCAATTATGAGCTTCTCACATGTTACACAGCTTCATATATGAATACCTAGACTATATTTTCATCTTTAGAATTCAAAATTATATAGTTTTCAAGTCTGAAATAGTAAAATGTTGGCTTCTTTTACATCCTCAGCTCAAATCAGAATGTTCTCGAACAGAAAAAATTGTAGGAGGAAACAAGGCTTAGTACAACCAACCAATATTACATGGACACATGAAAGGATTTTTTTTTTTCTAAAGTGAATGACTATAACAAACATGTGTTAGGAGGAGGCATCAAAGGTATGATCTTTCTTGGGTCTTTAATAATCACCCAGAGCTTGATTCAGAATGTTCACATCGATTCCCTTTGACTTTGGTATCTCTAAAAATAATAGATGCTCTGCCTTGCATTACACAAACAAGGGAAGAGCAATCATCTAGTAGTATATATGGATGACATTGTAGGATATGCTCCATGTATACCCAAGGAAGTTTATGGGATAACAGATTCATTTTATGGATTTCGGCAGCCAGATCAAAAAGCAATGTTTACAAAAGGGTGAAGAGAGTAACGATACTATTAGTCACAGGATAATAGTGGTGTGAACAAAATGGTGACAAGCTTTGGGAGCATTGTGTTATCAAAAACCTTATTTGGACAAATTATGTTCTAGAGGTAAGATCTGCTGAGGCTTAGGAGGAAAAGGTTGTGACACACATGTTAACAAAATGTGTACCATAAATGTGAACGTTAGGATGGATATGTAATCATACAACATATTGAAAATGATGATATATTAGAGAATACATAAGGTAAGAAAGTTCGGATGAGATGAAGTTGATGCAACTGTGTTTGAGGCAATTCTGCCATGTCCAGCTTAGAGTGCAGCTGTTAGAAGAGGAGACCCGTATCAAGACCTAGCCATTTTGCAAACATCACATTTGGGAAGTCAGATGAATACTCACATACTGGATTGTGTCAAAGACACCATTCATATTCCAGAACAGCCGGTTTTTACCTCTTTACCTTGCTTTTGGGTTTGACCTTCTTATAATTACCTTGGATTTCATTCTCAATCTAGGGAGGGTAAAAAACTAGTTATTGTTTTTCTTGGGTTCTTGAGAAACACTGTTACATTCTGGCAATTATGCATATTGATCTGACAAGGAGATGCTTGTTTGCCAGAGAAAGTATGCATCTTGTTTTTAATGTGATACTTGGGAACAAACCCATGGAATGTGAAGCTAATTTCAGAAATCTAGAAACCACTATCATCATCATCATGACTCGTAAAAGTTGAATCATATTGCTCCAGCTTGGCAGAAATTGCACATTCAATTAACATGGACAACAAATTTGTTTTGTCTCTCAACTAGACCATTAGGATGTTATCTTGATCAGGGTCACTGCAAACTAGTAGGCTTTAAGAATGAAGAACCATGCAAGATACAAGATTTTCACAGGCAGGCTAGGCTACTATGTATTTGTTGGTGGCAACCTGTTATCCTACAAGAGCAAGAAACAAGATGTAGTGTTTCCTTTCATTGGGGCCATCTTTTTTTATGAGTTCCTACATGGATTCTTGTGCAAGATTTTGATAATCAAAGCAACCATACATATTGCTAACAAACAAGTACCCCATAACCAAATGGAATACATAGAGGTGGATCATCATATACAGCACAAGCAGGTCATGGCTACACCCACAACACCCGTAGCCCCTATTGGGAAATAACCATTTAGGATGTCTAGACAGACTTTGTATGTAGAAAGTTGGGCACAACTATTATTGATGTACCAAATTGAGAAGGGTTGTTTTAATTTTCTTATTTTCTCTATCAACCCACAACCTCATTTACTCTCAATACGTATATTGATATTTTCAAGCAAAATATTATCACAATTTCCCTATTTCTTTGGAACAGCAATAGTAGGACGTTTGACAACAATGAAGCATCACCTTTTAAGAAACAAAGCACATATCTTGCCGGAATAAGAATTTGAAAAAGAATAAGACCAGTGACATACTCTTTAAGACCATGTGCATATTTCTTTGATGGGGCATTAAAAGGAGGTCGCTCTTTTGCAGCATATGCTTTAGGAACATCATTTTCACGCTTTGCAGAAAATGGTAGGCAGCCTTCAATCATCTTCATCAAAAACAGAAAATAGAAAAGCAGATAATCAAGACTTGCCATGACAGAATGAAATATGCCAATAAAATCACATAATAACACGTGTAGAAAGCAACATCATACCGAGTAATGGGTAAGGCAGTATGTGCATTATGTCTCCAAGTGAGTGAACTCTGACTTTCGAAGTCAAATGGACAATTACAAATTGACACGACTTTTATTTAACATCAAAAATATTTTGATAACCACCTTAAATCTGCAAGTACTACAGACGAATAACAAAAAAGAAGAAAATGTCTTGAGGACTCAAGGGATTTCTTATTAATATTAGTTCCACAAACCCTAGGATTGACACTCAAAGTCAAAGGAGAAATCTTGTTTTTACTGAATCATGAAAACATATTGGCATTACAGAAGTTGCCATGAAATAAGTATATTTCAGTTTACCCATTTAATTTTATATTTCACCTTTTTTTTACCAATCAGCAAACAGTATCAAAATGATGCATACGCCATATGCTAGGAAAAGCAAGTGAATAAGTAAAACATAAATAATGTGGTCCCGTCAGTGCAAAATGCGTAAATCCTAAAACAAAGTTACAAGTTTTGAACATGTAGAATAAGGAAATAAGGAATCAAAAATTGTCATGGCAATTACAAAACATAATTTATAAATTACAAATTAAAAATTACATTTAGGGGCTGTTTGTTTTCTTCTTCTATTAAGCCCTTTATGGATTAAGGCGTTTGTATGATTAAGTTGTTAGTATAAATTAACAATTTTTTGTTTGTCCTGTGTGCGGGCGGAATAAGTAGTTTGAATGGCAGAAATTATCATGTTCGATAATATTTCTCAAAAGAAATTTGGAATGATAAAAAATATAAATTTATGAAGTAAATATAATCAGCCAAATCATCTGCTCTTCAACTTGCTTTTTTTTTTTGAAGTATATAATATTTATATATGGCAAATGCAACAAATAAACTCACACACCCTCCTCACCTATGGTGAGGTTTGAACCCCTGACCTCCTAGAAGGCCAAGGGCTATGATACCGCTAGGCCAAAGGCCCTTTGGTTGCTCTTCAACTTGCTCATGGCTAGATCGATCGCTTTCGTGTCAAATAGAAAGAAGTAGGAGATCCCACCTCTGGAAAGCGCTAACATAATGATATAAATCCATTTATTAACTTAAAGTTAATCATATATATTGCAAATCAGAATACCTGGATTGTTCATAACAAAATTTGAAGGATCCATATGGTACTCATAAAATACTATTTTGTATAACAAAATACATAGATTATTCGTAACAAAAATTAAAGTTATATTGATTGTAATCTAGCATAAGCATATACATTTAATGATATTATTACAACATCATTATTAACTCTTTATATTATCATTAAACATTAAATCATACAATATTTATTTAAATGTCACAAAAAACCCCACGATATTGAAATGGTACAGTGGGACATAGCATGGCAAAATACAAAATTGAATTGTAGATGTCTTTTACAAACATTATAAAATAATATAAAATTCAGTTCAATAAAATTATTTAACTAATAGTTAAAACTATGATAAAAAAAAACAAAGATAAGATGTAGAAATTTGGTAAATCAAAATAAATGGCCGTATAATATATGAGAAATATATCACATCAAAAAATATTACCATAAATTTTTTATCATTATACATAGATAAGTATTCAAAAAATAAGTGTGTGAACTCTTGGAAGAAAAAGTTCATGATTATTATCATAAAAGAAGACACCTTAACACCATAATGAAATATTCACATATTCCTATTCTATTATAAAATATGATTTCCACAAAAGGAAATAAGGAAACTAATTTGAGATCCTAGATAATAATAATGTTTGAAATTTGAACTACAAGTTTATGCATTTTGGTGGTTCTTATATATCTGCACTAGACATCAATGCTACTACCAAATTATTATCATCAAAGGGCCTTTGGCCTAGCGGTATGTGAGTCTTTGGCCTTTGGCCTAGGAGGTCAAGGGTTCAAACCTCACCAAAGGTGAGAAAAGTGTGTGAGTTTATTTGTTCTATTTTCCATATATAAATATTATATACTTCAAAAAGAAATTCATTATCGATAATTAGGTCAATTGTAGAGGATCTCGTATTGAGGACAGAATGTTGTTGCTTTAGTTTTCATTAATGATCAACATGCAAAAGCTAAGCAACTTGCTTTCATTCAGGACATTATGTGGCACAACTTTTGGCACTAGCCACTACGAACCTATTGGAAAACCAACATGCACTTATAAATCAAAAAGCAAAAGTTAATAAAGATGTATTCATTTCTAAGGTAAAAACTAAACCTTGTAGGGAATATGTGGTTGTAGAAAGCCATACCTCTTGTAAAATTAAAGCAAATGAGAAAACATCCACTTTGGTATCATAGTCTTCATTTCTGAAGACCTCTGGAGCAAAATATCGACCTGTTAACACATATCCAACTCTAACATTACTAGAACATATATCACTCAAATCCACACAAATGAAGGATGATAATATTTGCAAATCATCAGCTGATTCTTGCCCTCCATGTACTGTGCAGATGATGAAAAGCGTGTCTTGGGAGATCAACAATGAAGAACAAAGTGAAGTGTACTTGTAGAATACAACCACCTAAGCCTAATGAATTATGTGCACCAAATTGAAATGTAGTCCATATAAATAACCTGACGAATTGACTTGGTAACATGGTAAGCATTACTTTATACTGTTAAAGGTATTTGAAATCATCTTCAGAACAGCACTCACATGCAGTATCTTGACAGGTCATGAGTTTTTCCTGTTTGACTTTTCCCGTGCCTTTCAGAAGTTTGCTGATTCCAAAGTCTGCAACTTTGAGATGTCCAGAATCATCCAGCAAAATATTTCTGTATTCTTATTCACATAAAATAGCATATCAACAGTAATGGCGAAGATAAAGAACGCATTACTTTTCCCTTGATATTACTATAAGACATGCATTGAAATTCAAAATCCAGGGAAGATCAATTTTATAATAGAACTTACGAAGGCTCAAGATCCATGTGAATAATGGGCTCCGGCTTATTCTCGTGCAAGTAGTTCATTCCCCTGCAAAATTGACTCAATCAGTGTCATCTTATTGATCACTATGAAAATACAGTACTCAGTAAGCTAAGTTCTCAAAAAGTGAAAAGGCACAAAATAAACAAAACCAGAAACCTTAAATCTTCTGGTGTATTGATGAAAAGAAAGGTTCTAAGCGGAGAAAGATAACCATACTGTGTGGATATTCAATTATTCAAACTGACCACTATACCCTTTCATGCACATTCTATTTTCATTTGCCAAAAAGATATCACAAAAAAAAAACACAATGCTGCAAATAATATATTTAGTCATTAACACTGATTTTCATGACTGCAAATGTGATTACAGAAATGCTACCCTGCATGCTTACAAATAGAACAGGTAGAATAAGAGAAAAAAAAGTTACAAGGATATAATAAAACAAATAATGCAAGGATGGAACAGTACATAATTAATGTAGATAACCATCTACACATGGTTCTAAGATAAGTAAACAAAAAAAAAGATTTCCCAGTCAGTTCTCCCTCTTTTGTCATTCTGTATCATTTAAAAGTGGTGAAGGAAAATTGCTTTTCAGAAAGGAGATATGGTATACAAACACTGTAATGTTTCACACTACAGATGCCAAAGGAACTGTTAATCAAATGATAGTTGGAAAATAGAACAATCATGAATATTGGAATATAGCATCCAACAATAATCTGAACACAGAGATCCCTCTTTACCTAGGGGCAATGTCATAACAATATTTCCTCATCCCTACAGATTTGACTCTCAACACTAATGAACCTACATACTTGCAGGAAACTTACTACTGAGCCTTGATGACCCGCAAAGCTTCAGCATCCCTCACCAGCTCGGAGGAGCCGCATATTACTATATTTGTCAATGCAAAGCTTCTGCCCTCACTGTGTCCCTCACCTGAAGCCTGCACAGCTTGGAGTATGTCCAGGTGGTTCGGCAGAAGAAGCCTAAAGGAGGCCTCTCAACTGCTGACAAGCAGCAACTCCATGCCATCAGCTCAAGAAGAGCTTCACTAAAGAGCACTCTTCTTTGCCATGCAAGTGCAGTAGAGAACCCAGACAAATGAGATGTTCCCTTGAAAATCACAGCAGGTAAATGAAAGAACCTCCCCAAGGTCTTACTCATGGGCCAACCTCAAAATACCCAACTGGTATGATAGAGGGGCAAAGAGAAAAGCCCCTTCATCGAGTTTGGGGAGCCTAAGCTAGCCTAAGATGGAAACATTAGTAGCTCGATACCACTTGCATAACCTGTCCATACAGATATGAGCATGGCAGTTCGCAGTTGCCACATCAAACATGACTTGTGGGACAAATGATGTGTACAGATTCACACCCAGTCACGCGCTTGTTCATAGGAGTACAGCCCAGCCACCCGCCAATGAGTACGCAGACATGATATGCATTGTTTTCTACAATTTTTGAACAGTCATTTCTTCACTTTTAGCTATCTTATTTTCCTTTAATATCCCAAATTTGAATATTTTATTATCTTATTTTTCCCATTGTTATTTACGGAACTGAAGTTGTGATTGATCTGTAATAAAGCTATGGAGTGCTAATTTCATCTTTTGGTCAAGTTGTGTGTGTTGAATCTGTGCTGCAGGATTGGGCAGATTACTTGGAGAACAAGGCAGAAAACATGAAAATAAAGGGGAAGCACTAAAAACAACTTTTAGTGAGATGAATCTCACATTTTCAAGGCCCTTTGCAGATCTGCAAGTTTTAGTACTACTTTTATCTTGATAGGATGCCTTGTCTACTTTTTATTTTGACTTTTTGGCTTAACTTTGTACTTTTTTAAGTGCTCTTCCCCCCTCTCTCCTACTATAAATAGAGATGGTGGGGCCGAAGTTTGAAAAGCTGGAGATTAGTTAGTTTCATATTTCAGTAGCTCTAGTTTGGTATCTTCTTCCAAACTTCCAATTTAAGTATTACTTTTGGCATTTACATTCTTGAATTTAATTATTGTCTTGCATTAATGCAGCAGCATTCATTGCTACACTTTACATTCTTATCTTTCATGTCTTTAATTTATGTCTCCTTTTACTTTATGATGCAATTTCATTCAGCTATGAGTAGCTAAAATCTTTGGCTTGGGTGTAAGACAAGGGTGAGATAACAAACCAAAGGAAGGTGGACATTGTTTCTCAATAATGATGGTCCACCATTTCATTCGAGTTTATAAGGAAAAGAAGATACTTCTTGACAAGTTGATCACTTGGCAAAGTGTTAAAGTGTAGTGGACTTAGGGGCTGTTTGGCAGTTGCTGAATGGTTTGGTGCAGAATGGTTAAGTGGTCAGAATGGTTAAGAGGGCCAGAATGGTTAAGTACTGAATGAAATAATGTTGTTTGGTAATTGTTATCTGAATGACAGTAAATTACCATTTTAACCCTCATTCACATTTTCTTTGAAGTTGAAGTTGGATAATGTGTTAGGGCCGATTAACCAATCTGCTTTATCGATTCAAGAATCAAGAACGAAAACCCTAACCAATCTGCTTCATCGATTCAAGAATCAAGAACGAAAACCCTAACCAAAATCTGCTTCATCGATTGCCAATCTGCTTCATTAATCGTAAACAAAAAAAACCAAAACCCTAACCAAAATGGCGAAAACCTAATCGAAGCGAGGGGCGACGAGTTCGTGAAGGCAACAGGCTATCATCGGTCGAGCGACGAGTTCGTGAAGGCAACAGGTGACCGGCGATGGCGAGGGGCGATGGCGAAAACCTAATCGAAGCTGTGGAAGGTCGCCGGCGATGGAAGCTGTGGAGTCTCACAGGCTATCATCGGTCGAGCGACAACCGAAGACGGGGACGGAGATGGTGGAAGCTGGGAAGGCGACGTGAACTCAGTGAAGGCGACGGAAGCTGTGGACGGTCGCCGGCGATGGAAGCTGTGGAAGGTCGCCGGCGATGGAGATGGGGGGAAGGGTAACCGGCGACGAGAGGAAGGAGAGGGTGGGGGAGGAGCTGTGAGCGACGAGGAAGGGGGTAAAATTGGAAAAAGTAGGATCTGAATGGTTGAGTGAGGTACCAGATGCAAAATGGTTAAGAGGTGTTTGTAACCATTAAGAGGTGGTTTTTTTTTTGCCAAACACTTGCAACCTCTTACCGATTCAGCGATTGGCTCTTAATGTAACCATTAAGAGCCTACCAAACAGCCCCTTAGAGATAAGCCACTTAGAACACATCATCTTGAATGACTTCGGAAGTAGACTTCAGAGAGTTACTTTAAACAAAGAGATTTGTTGTTCCATGTACTTCTGGAAACAAAATATGTTTTACCTAAAGTTTCTATCTTACATAGAGATTAGGAGACCTAAATGGTAGGTTTATTGTGTTTCGTAAAGGCTCAAGAGGGTATCCTCAAAGTAGATGGTCATAACTATTATTTTTGAAGCATTGCGCTGTAGCAAATGCTACGGCAATTGTCTGCTATAAATTGTGTTTTTATCTCATCCGAATCTTACACCCTTGCTTCTTTTTATATTTTGTTAATCATCAATAGCTGTTAACATCATCAATCTAAACAATTTCTTCAAATTCACCATCTGAAGTTAGTCTTTTCATCTTGAGATCTTGCAACTTAAGATACCTATCTATGTGTAACTCGATACTTGGTCTTACCATTTTATTACTTGAAAGGTAATAATGTTGACAAATGTATATTTGAATGAGTTACCAACTAGTATTATAGAGATACAATGTCTAGCACGTCAAGAGTCAAGACACACACCCCAGTCCCATGTACCATAATGCACATAAGATTTTGTTCACTGAAAAGATATGAAAGTGTCTCTATCCGGATATGTACAAGTTAAGAGTCCTCATCTACACCTCCTAAAGTCTCTCTTATAAATATTATATTGATAGTTTTCATCCATTCAATTGTTATACGCTGGGTTTGTGTGGTCAAATAGTCAAACATAGTAGGCTGGGGTGGAAGTTTTTATACCATAGTACAAGTGAATCAAGAGGAAGGAAGTCGGTTAGTATTAGTTGTAGTACTATAATATACATAAGGGGTGGGAAGGGGGAAAAGTTATCAATCAGTTCGTGTGTTGTATTCAGTGAATGCCTTGGGAGAGATCTAGTACTTGTAATCATGTGTTTTTTTTTTATAATTCCATTGAAATCATCTGTCTCTTAACAAATTTCACTGTTAATTGTCTGGTGTGTATCAATTGGTATCGGTGCACTACGATTTACGGGACGATGAGGAACGTTTCATCAAGTTGACGATTTGGAAAGGACAGTCCGGTTCGATGCATGCTAAAGTCAATTCCCTAAAGGAAGACTTACAAGTTGTAATGAAGGAAATGGAGCTATTACCAGAGATCCAAGAATCAAGAATGAGAAAGACGATGACTAAGGTTACACCGCATTAAAAGGAGGAATCGCCAAATTCACGGAGAAAACCAGAGATTTTGATCTTCAATGGAACATATATGGACTGTTGGATTACGAAGATGGAACAAATTGAGTAATGAAGAACATAATAGGGAGTTGCCCTTCGTTGGTACGATAAGGAATAGGCGGAGACCAATTACAAGTTGGAAGGAATTAAAGGTTATGTTGTTGAGCCAACTTAGATGAACAGGTAGCCTTTGTGAGGAGGTGTCGGCAGTAAAACAAGATGAGTCACAAATGGACAAGACAAATAAACTTGTGCCCTGGGGTCCTCGTTAGAAGGTGTCATAGGTACTGGTTTTGAGTCAGAACATTAATGGGCTAAAAACATTAATTTACGTTGAAGTGGGTTATCAACTCCAATGGGTTTGAGTAACACTGTGGAAATGGCTCAGAAAAACGAAAATAAAAAATAAAGTGATAGGTGGTAGTAGGAGTGCGAGACGGTCGGGAAGGCACATTGTCAAGGTGTCGAAGCACAAAAGATATGGGGAGTTCTAGCAAAGAGAATGGGTTGATGAATGGGGAAGCAAGTGAATTCCAAATACTCACGAAGCTTATTACAACAGCGGTTGACAGAAGGACTTAGTTACATGACGAAGTCGAAAGTATCGCGGACATAAATGTAAGAAGAGGGAGATAAATGTATTAGTGTTACAAGATAAAGATCGAGAACCATATGAGGAATAAGAGATGGGTCAGATTTACACGGAGGGGGAGTACAGGGCAGCGGTGTCTTTGATTTCAATCATAGGCTTCGGGGTCCTAGAACCATGAAATTAGAGAGCGGTTCGGGGGAGGGACAAAAACTAGCAGCTTGTAGTACCTGTGGTAGAAGGTAGTTCATATGACATGCTCGAGCTATAAACAAACTTGTGTTAGCTAGACTTGTGGGAGCCTCGTCGTCAAACTCCTTAATATCATTGGCAACAAGGTGAGACTAGGTAAGTGAAGCTCATCAAGAACCACTACCATCACACCACCACCATCACCATTAGTTATTGATGTAAAGCATTTGAATCAAAGATTTCATTTTTTCCTGCCTTGAGTACAAGATGAGAGCTTAGGGGTGGGTATTGTTATACCCTGGGTTAGTGTGGTCATATAGTCAAACATGATAGGTCGGTTTTATGCCATAGTACAAGTGAAGCAAGAGGTAGGAAGTCGTTTAGTACCAGTAAGGGTACTTTAATATAAATAAGAAGCGGAAATGCGAAAAGGTATCGATCAATTTAGCGTGTTGTTTGGGGCGAAAGCCTTGGGAGAAATTTAGCCTCTTAAAAGCTAAAAACCTACCTGTAATCATTCGTGTTCTTTTCCATATTGAAACCATCTGTGTATGTACCAATTTCACAGTATGACCCATGTACAAAAAATTCACACGAGATTTTTTTTCACCAAAAAGACATGAAAGTGTCGGACTATATTCTATATGTACAAGTTGAGAGTTCTCAATTCTCATTGATGCCTCCTCAAGTCTCTCTTATAGATATTTATTTTCTATACTTTTCATCCATTCAAAAAATAAGAGCATACACCAATTGTCATCATAGACCACCTAACCTCAGCATCAGAGTCTTTATCATGGAGAAGCCCCAAATTCTCAAGGGTTTTACTGCTCCCAGTGTGAAGAATCATCTCTCACTAACATATAAATTTACGAATAAACGTTTCCCATAAGGTGACATTGTGAAAATGTTATGACATCAATCAATCAACAACAATATCAATCGTGAATATGTCTTGTTATCAATAGACATAGTCCCAAACTAATACATGCAACTATAACATGATTGAAGGCATTTCTTACCAAAAAAAAAATGTTGAAACAATTTTTCATGACACGAAAAAGAATTTGTATTTCAATGTTTAGAAGTGTCTTGGTACCATAAAAAGCATTAAATAATTTATATTGATATTAAAATAACAAATGACAATCAACATATGGACTCAGAAGTATAACTAGCAAGACAACCTAATTAGCATCTTTATTGGTCAATATCGGGAAGGGCAAGTACTGAAGTACCTTGCGATATCTCTCGCAAATCTCAGAGCTGTTGCCGGCTTCAGTGCCCCTTTTCTCTTTAAAAGGGCACGAAGATCACCCTGCAATATATGCAAATATATAAATCAACCAATATGCATACACACATACACATCATATATCATGTAAAAGAGAAGCCCAAAAAATATATGACATTTTTCATAGAAACAAGGACATACAACCAGCCTGGTACCCATAAGTTCACCTGCCTAAACATATAATTGAAGCCAATAAAATGCCTTATGTGTCTAACACCCATTGTCAAGTCAAATACGGATGTCAACCCCAAATTTGACGAACTAAAAGTCTCGCAAGAAGTTCCACCTACTTCTCAAGAAAAAGTTTGATAATCCACCATCATATTTTGAAAGACAATGTATGGTTCATTAAGATGTACATCGCAGCCGCGCCATTGCTATAGATTTCCATGAATCTCATAAACAATGCTCCAAGTCCATACGCCCTACTCTCACCAAGATTCCAAACCAGAAAGGTACATGCTGTCACGAATCTCCTTAAGTTACAAGACTCTTCCCAAAGAGAACACAATACAACGTATACAAAGGAGTCTCAACTCTCTTCATTCAGACAAACTCTTAGATAGAAAGATGCACAAGTGCCATTAGAAAGGTACAAATGCATAAACTACCAGCTGACACCCTACAATTTCAAGTGCCATTAGAAAGGTACAATGGACATAATGATAGAGACTATTATAACAATAGGCATATTTCACGACCAGAATGGTAGAGACATCAACTATTTTGACGATGGAATAAGTAGAAGATGACAGGTTACAAGAAAAGGGGTTTTAGAGAAGGATAAGGAAGTGTGTCTAAAGATACATTTCAGAGAAAGAATTAGGGGACGAAAGTGAAAAAATTGACTTTCAAAGAAGGATTTTGAGTCAAATTATACACTCCCAAAAGTCACTAAAAGTCAAACCAAGGGATTCAATATCAAAGCGTCTCTAAAAAGTAAAATCTTTTTAAAAAGTAAAATTGAATAAAGGGTTTTATTAACACTTGCTAAGCATATCTAAAAGGCTAAGATTTTTTTAAAATAATTCAGATTTATAAATGAAAACTGTAATTAGAATCCAGGCGGTTTGTTTATAGATATTGTGATCTTACACCAATATTTGTTGAAAGAATTCAACTTAGCAAAAATCATTGTGTAAGATCACATCCCAAGAACGATAGGTGTAAGATTACAATATTTGTAAAACTAACTATATGGAACAATGTTGTATGGATAACAACAATAATAGAAGATGGTTCAACAAAACAAGCATCATTTACTAGACTACAAGAACATTACGTTTTTGGTGCAAGGGATCCATTAACGCTAACAACTTCTATTTCACCACAAACAAAAATTAAAGTTCTTCCAATTTCGATTTAAATAGCAAACAGTATGAATAGAAAATAAAGCATTACCAAACATGACCAATACTGAAAGTCGTTGATTTACCAAACTGAATGACGATTTTATTTCTGAAAGCTAATGCAACATGTTCAACTGCTTGAAGATACACTTAGCCTTGTAGTTACACTTCGCAAGTGTTACTAAAACCCTCTATTCAATATTCTTTTAAAGACTTTACCCTTTAGAGACACTTGAAAAAATTGTTCTTAAAGCCCTTGGTTCGACTCTAAGGGAAGTTTTTGCTAGCGTATAATTTGACTCAACATCCTTCTCTGAAAGTGCCCATAGCTTCAGTCACATTTTTCAGCTTTGTCGCCTAATTCCTTCTCTGAAATGTGTCTTTAGATAGACTTCCAAGTCCATCTCTAAAATCCCTTTTTCTTGTAGTTAATAGTAGCAAGCAAAATAGTAAACTCCCAAGAAGAACGAGAATACAAATCAGATTAAACTCCTCCTTGAGCTCAAACAAATAGAGACTTCTTCTGTTTAAGGATACAATAAAAAGGGTAAAAATCATCCATGATTTAAAATTTTGAGTTTCCTATATATTATCTTGTTCTATCAATCATATTTTTCAAGCCTTTGCTGCAACAAGTCGTGTGAACCAAAATCCTATGAACCCATGTTATGGATCCGAATCCATTAGTATGGAACATTTTCTTAGAGAAGAATAGCGGATATTTTATAAAAGCGCCAAATACCTTGCCTCTCGGGAGAATCAATGACTGCATCTTTGATACAAAAAATTCAAATAGATTCCGATAGATATTTGTTGTCCCCAAAATCCAAATAAATATAAGAAAAAAATGAAAAATTAGAAGGGGTATAATGCCATCTACAATGGCCTCCAATGAGATGTATATACTACGCATGTTGACAAATACTGTATAAGAAAAACTCCTCATGAATAGCAAAACCCTTAGTAGTGCCTATAACAACTCATAGACATAGACTATTACTTGTAATCATAGTAGTTCCATTATGTCTTCGGTATCATTGTTAAATAGTCACTTAGTAGGGTTATTTCCAATTCTCTTGCCTTGCTTTTTCCCATACGCCCACCATGTATCCCTGTGTAATCATGGTTTATATTCAATAATAAGCACAGCAATACAGCTACAATATTTCATGTGTCAGCCACAGCCATAGATCCAAATGGCTAACCCTGAACATTCCATATTAGCCAAGAGCTGCAGTAATTCCTAGAGATTGGGATCCACCAGCCCACCACCATTGGCCACCATAAAGGGGGTTGATGACTATTCAGTGCCACAAATTCACAAAAAACTAAACTTAAGCTATTCCAGCCTTTGGCATTGCCATTAGAACTACTGCATCGCCATATCTGCTGCTTTGGCTGTTGAATTGCCATTAAATAGGGTTACTTTTTATTGTCTTTTACCGAGTCCATATGCCCATCATATATATCCAATATAACCATGTATTTTATTTGATAATAAACGCTGACTGTTTTATAAACCAAAAAGACAAAATGAACCAGAAAAGTGGAGGGTCAAACTAAATCAAACCTTATGGACCAAAATGAAGGATCTAAACAGGAAAATATCACATCATTGGGTCAAAACAAAAAAAATGTCAAAACTATATGCACCAAAGCAAAAGTGATCAAACTCCAAGAGTCAAAAAAATTAAAGATATGTTAAACTATAAGAATCAGAAGGGCTCAAAGCAGAAAGCTATCAAATTTCACCAGCCAAAAATAAAATATCCCGAACCCTGGTTCCTTTGCTTATCAACCACTCAAGACGGTTGGAAGGACGGAAACACAGAACTAGAAATTACAACTTTAAACAAGAGAACTAGTGAATGATACCAGAACCAACCAGCAGAAATAGTACCAAGAAAACACACACTTCAAGGTAAAGAAAGGAGGTAAGAAAATAATCAACCAAGCAACCACTGTAACAAACAAATCAAATGAAAAAGCAAAACAAGTATCTTATATAGACAGAATAATAGCAAGCAAATGTGATCAAGTATTTTGATTTTTTAAGTTCTTTTCTTTCTAAGAGGTGAAATAGGGAGAAAAGACTCAGATTGAAGCCCTATCTAAGTTGACACGTCCAGAAATGACCCGTGACCAGGCTATCTAAGCAAACTAGAAGCAGGTAGTGTAAAACAGACACGATGCCTACTACAGCAACAGCATGATGTCCAGATACAAATGACTGGAGTTCCTAATAATCATCTAGGCTAGGCAAGGCCAAGAAGGCTGTCAACAAACCTGATCAACTTACTGCTGGATCAAACATCACGTTTCTATAGTAACAGGCGGGGGCGCTGCAGCAAGTGGCTGCTGTGAGGATCTTTAGGGCTAGAATTTACTACCACAAGCTTCTGGATCTCATACCATGGAAAAGATTATGCCCAAAAAGTACATTGTACTATCAATAGAAAACACGAACATAGAGAGTAGTCATATAAATCAACAGTCAGACAAAAATTAAATACTAGTAAAACATCATGTATGTCTATAAAACTGCATGCAATAATATAGAACAGTTTTAAAGTAACAAGTAATTTAGACAAAATTAAACGGAAAACTAAAGGTCATAGTTCATGAAAAGCACCTTTGGCAAGTATTCGGTCACAATCATCATCGGACTACTCTGAGTTACAGCACCTAGGAATTGAACCACATTTGGGTGTCGTACTTTTTGAAGCAACTCAAGCTCATCCCTAAAAGCCCTCCTGTTTAGAACCCAAAGATAAATAGATGCAACTAACATATTAGAAAGATGAAAAATCAAATCATGTTGGTTAATGATTAACCCACACTTTCTCTTCATCAGTAAAAACTTCATCTCCGAGCTTCTTAACTGCAACTTGTGTTCCACGCCAAGAAGCCATGATAAAGGTTCCCTGGAAACATTTGATAGAATATAAACATAAGAAAATAATATGACATGATTAGATACCAATCTTCACAACAGCATGATGAGCCGAACTGTGCCGAATGTTGCGAGCATTTTGAAACTTTCCTAGTTCTGATACTACCATGGACCAAAATATTTAGAAGTAATGGTCTAGGGGCCTTTTACAAGACTAGCAACAAAACTTGTGATGCAGGATTGGGCATGGAGGACCGGGCCCTAATGTTCTTGGAGGCCCATGATTGGGCTACCAAACAGGGCCGCGCTTAGAAAGCCATAACTCTCGCTCCAGGTGTCCGTTTCAGGCCCACGACCAGTTGATTCGAAGCCTAGACCTAGGAGCATGCCGTGGTTAGACCCAAAGGGGCCTAACGGACTTTTGAACCCCGAAAACGCTGTTTAAGCATGCATTTTAGACATTTTAGTGTTCTTTTACTTAATTTTGGCATTTTCGTTGGGCTCTTTGCCTTTGGCCCATAATCCTTTTCAGGCCCGTTTTGTTTTGGGCCTTCTATTTATATGCTTCGTATGAAAACTGGATGGTCACACTTGAATTTGACAAACTTTAATTTTTTTTTCTTCCCAAATTTTGAGTTCTTGTGAATTCGACTTTTGAAGCCTAGGATTCGGTATTTGTCGAATCAACGAATCCTAGAAGAGGTTATCCACGGGTGTTCACAAAATCAACGTGGTGATCTGTAATTTTCATTCTTAAATGCTGCATCAACTTGTCACTTACCTCAACTACAGGTTAACATTTCTGACAACTAATGCCCAGGGGTGAACAATTTAGTATATTATCATTTTCATGTGTCAACTACATGGCAAAGATGATATTTTCCTTACTTATGTCACATAAAGAGTCTCCAGGGTGTGTTCCATTCTGTTATAAGTGCTACACTGCTGATGGACAAAAAAGGCCAATCTACCAATCTTAGCATTTCCTCTCTCGCTATCACGTCAATTTTTCAATAGGAAAACTAAAATCATCCTGGAGTTCTACTTAGGAGTTCAAGGATTTAACATTAGATGCATGTGAAACAAGGTGAGACCTAACCAGAGAAAAGAGCATGCATCCTAAGATAAAGTATTCAAAGAATCAAAAATTAATGATCAATTAGATGATAACACACATAAACAACCATTTGTGTATAAATTTGTCACTTATACAGGATTTTATGTGTAAGATGAACGTGCAACAAGGTGAGAGATCAATTCAAAAAAATTCAATCTAATACCCATCTCTCCCTTTCCTAACCAAACCACGAATCTTGCTCCCTATCCCCACCTCCCCCTCTCTCTCACAAGTGCCTCCCAAGGTATATGCTGGAGATCACCAAACCGCCAAACACTTGTGTTTATCTAAAAATTTCCTCAGCCACCCCAACCTTCTCGCGAATATGTTCGCTTCAAAAATTTGTAAATGTAGCCAACCACCACAAATTTGCAAAAGAGGTAACTTTCTGTTGCATATGCTTGATGTGCGTCATGAATCGCATCAAGAACAAAGTAGTACATCGAATTATGAAAGGTGCCATAGAGGAAAGAACTGGACAAGTGAAATTGGTTCATAACGTTCTGAATATACACTGGAAGCAGCATTTAAATACTGAAAATATGTATATAGAGAGAGAAACATAAATTAATTTTAACAGAATTGCAGGTCACTTACCTTGGTGATATCGATGCTATTTGTGAAATCAAATTCTTTTGGCTCAATTTCATATTCTGGGACTTCACGGGCATTTTGTACATGCATTGGAGCCATCTAAGCATATATTCCATCAAGAGAAAACATAAAGCTTAACTTTAGAAGAATCCCTAGAAATAAAAATAGAAAATTTGTAACTCATAGGACCAGGGAAAGAGAGAAGTAATATATAACAAACAGAAAGGAGTTTATATCATGCATATAGCATAAGAACTTGCCAGAGGTTTGGCACCATGTTTCTCCAAAAGTTTGACAACATCATGGTTCTTATAATAGATTGCATCTGCAAGAGGCTGTTAAAGCAACATCAGATTTTGAATAACAAGAAAAAGAAGGAAATTGAAGAAGAGCATAACTCGTCAATGAGAAACAAGGTAAAGCTTGAAATGAAGACAGCAAATGAGAGAAAGAGAATCAAGTATAAGTTGTTCTGAAACAATCCATTCATAGTTGCTAACATATATCTTATAATACTGAAAAACATGGATCCTTAAATGGCATGCTAGCAGTTCCTAATCTAGAATATGGAGAATTAATAGTCCCTAATCAATATAAGATGGCCAACAATAACAATAGATGCTACTACAGGTGCGTTTGGTATACAGGGAGGACAGGACCATACAGGACTGGACAGAACAGGACCCAACAGCGGTTCAGCATTTGGTAAGACAGAACTGGACAGGACAGAAAAATGACCAATTTACTCCTAATGAGTTGTTTATATATCTTATATATTTTGATTAATTTATGTAATTTATTAAATTATAATAAAACAAATATTTTTTATAACAAAATATACCGTTAGAAAGTTTTTGTCAAGACGATTAAAATAACACCAAGATAAAAAGTTTATTTTAGTTTCCAAATTTGAAGAAATCTGCATAATTAAATGTTAAAGGAGAGAGAAATATATTAATTATTTTTTTGTTCTTTCCACCAAAATAAAACTCCTCAAACCCACCAAAAAAATAAAGCAAACAGGTATTACCTTCATCTTTATTTATTAAAAGGTACCATTTAATCCGCAGTGGTTCTATACTTTTCTGCTTCACTTGATTCACTAGGGACGAAGTTAGTGTTCTATATATTTGGTTTTGTGACACCAAAAGTAGCAATAAGCAATGTAACACCAATGGTATATAGCACTTTCACAAAATGTTTGACACTTACAAATAAAACAAGCGATTAATAAGAGAGCACAACTTGAGATACACCATAACTTAAAGTATAGCACTATTGGCCACCACATATCTTGCAAAAGTGATCGACAAGATCCTCTTGAAGCATGTCACTATTAGCACATATAATTACCATTCTAATAAACATTTTGTTCGGAAGTTTGTTGGGCATTAAACGCATTGATTATTTTAATAATATAATTAATGTTGGAATATTGTTTGACAGTTTGTTTGGAAGATTGTGGTGGTCTGGTCACGTTCGTAGGAGACATACGGCGGCTCTAGTGAAAAGGATAGAGTGTGTCACAGTCAAGGGGGCCAGAAGGAGAGGTATGCGGAGGAGGTCATGGAATGATCAACTGAAACTAGACATGGCAGCTTTAGGCATTTCCAAGGACATTACTTCTGGTAGGAGTTATCGGAGACACAGGATTAGGATAAGAGAACAGGGGTGGGGATCTGTAGATAGCATAAACGGGAAGAAGGGAGCCGGAGACAAGTGATCCATGACAATGGGATCAATAAGTGGCTTCACCAAATCAAACTTGCCAACAAGTACATCATTCTAATTAATTTCCTTGTTGAATAATTCAGTGGCATCTACTTTATTTGTCAACATTTAAGTTGATGTTGGAAAAGTCAATGGCATCAACATTTAAGTTAATGACTGATTTGGTGAAGCCACGTTGAACTTGCAAACAAATACTGCATTCTAGTTAATGTTCAATAACTAAACGCGTGTTAGCTACAAAAAATTAAGTAGATGCCTTTACGAATGAATCTTGCATTCTTACTTAGTAAGATATAACTATAAAGTCGAATAAAGATAGTCCTTTCTCATATTAGCACCTTTGTAAAGGCAGATATCGAGGGTTACAGCTACTTCGGACCTCCTTCCTTACTTTCCTACCAATGCAGAATGTTAGCCAGCATCTGGCTGCCTTCGTGCAATTATTATCCTATCATGTTTATGTTACCCAATTTAATTCAAACTAAAACAAAATTGACTATGTTCTTGGTTAGAAGTACCAAATATCTATGCTGCTTAAACATAACTAATAATAATGTTTTTTTGTATCAGAATTTGTTATAGGTAGGTATCAAGCGATCGTCCCATGAATCCAGACCCAACAAAACTAATCGCGAGTACATTCTCATCACAAATGCAACCAAAAAACGATCAGTAAGAATAACAAAATGTAGAAAAGAAATAGAAAATCTTACCGTGCTACCCCACCGATCTCTGGGATCAACCTCTGCACCTCGTTCTAGCAGCAACTCAGCAACATTGCTAAACCCTTGGCAAGCCGCCACATGCAACGCCGTCCGATTATCAATATCTTTAAAGTTTACATCAGTTCCTGAAGTCAAAAGCTCCTTGATCCCTTCCAAATCACCTTCGCTCGAAAAAAACATCAACCTTAACCTGGGATCAATCGCCTCCGCCCTATTAACCTCTTCATGTTCCGAATCCGAATCCGAACCCGAAACCCGATCAGTCGCCATTGACGACTGTCTCCCCAACATAAACCTTACATTTGGCATTGACTCCATTTACCCTAAACTCAACAAAAACTGAAGTAAACTAGTGATTGTACACCCTACTACTTGTCAGTTGAATTCAAGAAAGAAAAATTTTGAAGGTCACAAGCTGGTCTCTGTGAGGCTGGCAGTTGTCGATTTGCGGAAGGGAAGTGAAAAATGGACGATTGTCGTATTGATTTCTTAAGACAGTAGGTGTCATTATCGTATGCGTGATTACAGAAACAACTGGAAATTTGTCAGTTTTAAATTTTTATCAATTCTCAAATGTGAGTATAAGTCGTTGAATATGTCTCTCTCAAACAATTAACTAATTTTACGAAACAAATATATGTAATTTTATTAATATGGCCTATTAGAGTTTGGTCATGTAAGTCATTCAGTTATATTAAATAAATGTATGTAATTTTATTAATAAGATGTATAATAGTTTGGTATCATAAGTTATTCAATTATAACAAATAAATGTATCTTATATAATTACTGGAAACGTACTCGTGTAATGCAGCGATATACATCGTGATTTTTATATTTTATTTTATTCTTTATCTCAGTCGATGTTATAATATGACTTTATTTGATTTTGAAAAAGCGATGATGTTTTTATTTTTGAATAAAATATATTTTTGAAAATATCATAAAAATTTGACAAAAATATATCGTTATTAGTATCAAATTATCCATTTGAAATTCCTCATTCTTTTGTGTAATTTTTTAATTCAATTTTTTATAATTTAATTTATGTACAATAACGAARTAATTTATATTTGATTTAATAATATAATTTTTTTATAAAGATAATAATTATTTATTTT